ATAGACCAGGAAACATAGTTTGTTCCATCCAACCGGGTTATCTGGGATATACTGGTTGACTGTTCTTGTGCCATTGGTAGTTTAACAATAAACCGCAATCAGCTGGCTGAATATGAAACTGTGTATTCACATTGATTCTCAATATCTCTCTGGGCCCATAAGCAATGTTATGATATGTACAGAATAACCCTTGAGTAACAAGGATATGCACATGAAAACGTTTATGAGAATAGTTATGAATCCAGCCACACACAGATATACTAAATTGAGTTAAAGTTTACTTTAAGAAATAGCACAGTCCAATAAACGGTCCAGGTCATATACGTTTAACAGTCCAAAAAAATATCCAATTACAAAGTCTTCTTACCGGTTGCCTTTGTCATTTACAGTAAACAAAGATATCAAAGTATAAGTACAGCATAAATACAACAGAGAATCTTAGATAGCAACAGAATGTCAGAGACAGAATGTCAGAGAGAGCAAGCTATGATCTCTAGCTCCCTCTTATGGTAGTTTGCAATATAATCAACCAATCGGAATATAGTATAAATCAATACAGTGATTTTGTCTTAAAGCTACAAACATACATTGTTGGTTTATATATTGCCAACCCAACTAATTGGTGTACAGATTCCTAACAGTTTTAATGGCCTTCCTTTGCTTGTGTCGCCCAGCCTTCTCCTTCTAAGTACTTAATAGGCTTGTGGTAAATCAGCGCTCCTTTTTACTGAGGGGCCTGTTTCCCAGACTTCAATCACTTCCCTGGCTGTTTTTGTGCCTGCTTGTCCAACAATCTTACTAACTGCAAAATTGAATATGTGACCATGTTCACTGTTGGACTCTACAAGATACTTTTCAAAATTACTGTTTTACAATTACAATGTATAAAGCGATTCAGAAGGAATATGCATAAGACAATACCAAAAGAACTGGAGTGATAGCATTATTTAAAAAAAAAGAATGGTGAGAATGTTGAGGAAGAGGGGAGGGGAGAGAAATAGACAAAGGGAAAAAGAAATGTAGAGAATAAAGGAAGGGAACAAGAGCAAAACAAAGATCATTTACCTTATTGTAATTGTATTGTTATTTATTAGGTGTCAAACTAGAAGAAGACCAAGTGAAGGAGACGATGATAGCGTGGGCAGATTTTTTTGGGTATGCTATAGAATTAGATAAGTGGCAGAAGCTATGGGGAAAAAACTATAAATTAACAGTATTGAAGGCATATAAAGAAAATTTGTATAAGATGTTTTTATAGATGGCACTTTGCACAGGCAAAATTGGCAAAGATATTAAAAGATAAATCAGCCAAATGCTGGAAGTGCCATCAAATAGCTGGATCATACTACCATATGTGGTGGACATGCGCAGAAGCTAAAAGATACTGGACAAAAGTACACACGTGGTTGGAAAAAATGATAAAGCAACATATAGATTTAAAACCTGAAATATTCCTTTTAGGGATGGTACCTGAAAGCTATGCCAAAGAAAAAGTATATTTAATTATTTATGTATTAACTGCAGCTAGAATTGTATTTGCTCAGAATTGGAAAAGCGAAAAAATTCCAGTAGAGGGAAAGATGATTGAGAAAATATTAGAATGTGCAGAGATAAATAGATTAACATTGGCAATTAAAGAAAAAGAAGAAATTGTATACTATATATATGGTATGAGATCTATTTTATCAATGGTTGGAAAATAAAGAAATAAGTTAAAATTAAGTAGATGAACATATAGAGAAATAAGTTAAGATTGTTATAAAGATAAAATATGTAAGCGACAATGGTTTATAAAGAAAATGTGATTACTGATATTTTGGCAAAGAAAGTATGTTAATTATAATTGTTAGCACAAGGTATATGTACCCAGTCAACACACTGTTTAAATAAAAGATGGACTTGTTGTAAATATAAAATAAAAAACTTAATTTAAAAAGTATAAACTAGTTAATACTGATGAAATTTGCATTGCATTTGAAAAGATAGCCAAAATAAGAAAAAATAGGGCACAAAAATATTAAAGCTTTTGGATTTCTAAAAGATAAAATATAGGGGAAAGATGCAAGGTCCTGAAACAGCACAGAGAATTGAATCTTAGCTAAATTTCAACATTCCTGACATGGTTTATACAGAATACCAATTCTTTTCTAATTATAATATTGCGCAGGAAGAATTCAAAACATGGTACACCACTTTAGACACAACAAATGTTATGACGGTCAGTGAACTAACTGAGGAAGAAGAAAACTTCTATAAATACCATACACACAAAACACGCACTCTAGTAGAGAGAAGTTCCTTGAAGAGAGGTTCCAGTATGAGTCTGAAGGTTCAGAAGACAAAACCACTGGACCTGGACATTGACCCAGATTGGATCCTGCAACATTATCCTGGGACACATATATTTGCCTTCATTTGTAAGAAAAAAAACTGCTCCTGAAGGCAATTTTTTTTGTACTAACAATGATATCTTTTCAAAAAAGAGAAAACCTACAGACCTTGAGTTCGAGAACATTTCTTATCAGTGACAAGGGTTTCTGGACCCCTGCCTAGAACTACAGTCACACCATCTGGCAAAAGAACTGGATCATGTCGCTTATCTTGACTGATGAGAAAGCACTGCATACTGGTGAGCATCCTGCAAGCAACGAGAGACATTTGGCTTCCAAGTAACATAGTGCCATGTTTAGTTTTCCACTATCCCCAAACATAGTAAATCCCACTGAAAGCGTGCAAGAAATACATCCCACACTAAGAACATGTGTTGAACTTTGGGAGCAGGTTGAGAAATTGTTGCATGAAGAGAAAGCTAAATTTAGAAAGTATTGTTCTCAGAGACATTAAATCAGTGTAGACAACTTGAAGATGTGTAGACTTCAACTCCCAGAATTCCCTAGCCAACATGGCTGTCTAGATAATTCTGGGAGTTCAAATCCCTCAACTTCAAGTGCCAAGGTTGAGAAATATTGCTATAAATCAACTAGAGAAATAAAATATATTATCTAAATTAGTGTTTCTTAAAAACTTTTTGCATTTAGGATTCCTTCCCACTTTTACAAAAACTGCAGAGGACCCCAAAACACTTTTGTTTGTATATTTATCAATATTTGTCCTATTAAAAATTAAAACCAATGCATTTGCAGAATATTTATTGAATCATGTAAAATAACATTAAACGCATGGGATGTTAATATAAAGTATATTTCACAAAACTCCTTTTAAATATTGAAAATATTTGCAAACATTTAAAACAATGTCATGTATATAAATGATATTGTTTTAAACGTTTGCAAATATTTTTTAATATCTAGCAAATCATTTTAATTTCAGATCCCTAAGAGAGTCCTGGGGAAGCCCAAGGGTCTTCTTCACATCATGCTTAAAAATACAGTTCTAAATGATTTAAAATTATGGGTAGCAGCCAAAAAAAGACTGGGAAAAAAAGAGGAAATAATTCAACAACCTGGACTGGGATTATATACGTTTACGCGTTTAGAAAGAGGTCTTCTTTTTATGAAAGGATTTCAGGTTCTCTCGCCCACGTGAAGTGGGAAGCAAAAGTTCCACTTTACCAAGGCTCCTAACTAGTAAATGGGACCATAACAATCTTATTCTGCATCCGCAGAAACATGAAGACCTAGCTGAGACGTTATTCCAGAATACGAAGTCCCGAAAGGCGGAACAACACCTTCCACCGATCCGAGTAGGAAGTGAACTTCATCCGCCCTCGGACGAAACAGTTTGTGAAGCTTTCATCCAAGATATTCCGCTCTCTATAGAGGTAGGAAACTAGAGAAAGACGCTCTATCTTCACTGGGAGGAGAAAACGAAAGGCATTCAATGTTCATGTCCTAAGGATGCAAAGAGTCATAAAGCTGGAAGAAAAGTAATCCGCTTTTAGAGGTAGATTTTCATTAAGGCTCTAAAGCTGCAGCCCCGCACACTTTTGCCCAGGACAAAGCCACACTAAGCACAAAATCGGAGTGTCATCTCCCCTTTCAGAATTCAACCTTTCCTGATTCAATCTGTCTGTCTGTCTGTCTGTCTGTCTGTCTGTCTGTCTGTCTGTCTATCTATCTATCTATCTATCTATCTATCTATCTATCTATCTATCTATCT